CTCGCTGCCCCGCGGCGCTGCCCTCCCAGCGCGCGGCAGAGGGAAATCGTTCGGCGCGGGAACTCACTGAGCCATCTGTGTTCCCGCAGCTAAATTATTTCTTGCAAGGGAAATAACATTCGGTTGGTGTATCTGGCCTGCTAATTGCTTTAACTGGCTGAAAAGATCTCGGTCTGTTCTTGAACTGTTTGTGCAAACTTAACAGAATAGTGTTACCTTCTGATCCTGCCCTCTCAGCAGCCAGAAAGTATAAACAAGTCTTTTTGTAAGAAAAGCAGCACAAAGTTTCAAGTTATGCTAGCAGAGGTTATGAGAGACAGGAAGTTATGGGCAAATTGATTTCACCATTGGGAAACTAGGGAATTTTTTTCCCCAAGTAATAACTGTAAAGCATGCTAATGCTATTCAACATTAGTGCATTAAAGTGTGGCCTTATTAATTCAAGACATAAAGGCAACAAAATAAGCTGTTAAATTTAAAATATAATACATATATAATGAGAAAAAATGTGTGAAAGCTTTATTCAAATGAAAATGCAGAATTGTTTGAGCTAGTGAAGTATCTTTTGTGCTGAGTTATGAGCATATGTAATAGATTTAATTATTAATTTCTCCATTGTTCTATGCACACCGACAGGGTTCAAGGCACAGTCATTCTCTGGCTTTCATAGATCTAATTTGTATAATTATTGCCTGAATAAAGAATTGCTCCCATTCCTAGCTCACTTTTTCCTTTCCTAAGTGCTACCTCACTGCTGCTTTCCAAAAGGAGAGCACCTGCCAGGTCTTCAGCAATCAGCTGATCACTTCCAGTGATGAGGCGCGCTCCCAATGACGTTCCTTTTCGAGCCTTTTTGTCTAAATGAGTTATTGTGCGTCCTTTTTAATTTCATTGAACAGATTACATTTGTCAAGGTCTAGCTTTGTAAATAAATAGCTAGAGACACATGGATGCATATTGCGGCTGTTCAAGGTCTCTTGTTCTATTTATGGAAGCCAGATGAATGTGAAACAAAAGAGAAACTTTTCTCTAAAAGCAATTATCTTTCTGCATTCCCATCAGTATAATTATATTGCAGGGAATTTTAAGAAGTCATACAAGTACAATTGAATACTTAAAATCATGGCTGAATTGTTATGCAAAAGTTGAGCAGCGCGTATTGCCTCGTGCTAACACAACACACCGTGACTGGCTGTTCTCTTGCAACTTTGCACCTGAAACGTGGGTGCGTGTTCACATAAAGTCAGAACTGGAAATCCAAGAGTATTCAATAGAAATTAAAAAAATATGTATGGGAATAAGTATAGCACTTCATTGTTAGTTTTGAGGTGCTATCATTCAGGCATTAAGAAGCTGAGGCCCCAGTCTGTGAGTGTTTTCAATCATAACTTCAAAGATATACTGCATTAGCAAAATGGGGCGTCTTCCTTGCTTCTCAGGTTAAACAGGAACATGTAAATCAAAGATTTAAGACCAAACTATGATGAAATGATGTTTTTAGTGCAACTTTGGCAAAAAGCTTTAGCGAGTCAGTAAACGTCTATAAGCCCTAATGCCATGGCAGGCAGCTGTGCAAAGCTGAATCCAGAGAGGTGCCCTTGGCCAGGACCGCGTCCGTGATGCACACCTGCATCGGCTGCAGCCCCAGGTTTTCTTCTCTGTGAAAGCTGTTTTGGCTGCCCCGTGCTTGTATTTCTTTCCTCTCCAGCCGGGTACGTTGCTCCTCTGCGCCCTGGGAGTGGGTGCCGGGACGAGGAGCCCGGCACGGTGGCAACGGTGCCCACGGCACTGCTGCAGCTGAACTTCCCTTTCCTCCAGGTTACCCCCAAAACATACGGCTATGGGTCTGCTGTGCCCACATTTCTGTTCAATCCAAACCTCACCTTTTCCTCTTTTGGCAGAGGTCTCGTGGGCACCAGGGTTTCCTTGCATTCAGCCATGGGCAGCGGTTGCAGGGAATGGTTTTCTCTCCTTCTCTCCTGGGATCCCTCAGCAGGGCAGAAGGTGTTTCCATCCATGGATCTTCCTCGGGAAAGACTGCCGTTTCATGGGGAGAGTAAGTCTGAACCATAATGATATTTTAATGATCTTTGGGTTTTTAGTAAATTGCCTCCCCCCGCCCCCAGTAATCTGCAAATCTGTTACCAATCAGAATGTGATACGTCTCCTCAGCCAGTTTCAATGGGGCTTATTGCTATTACATCTGGCAGTGTGTCCAAAGGGGGGAAAAATCCCTTCACCAAAATTAGCTGCACTCTGGATGTGTCCAGCCTTTTTGGCCAGACTCATTCTGGTTCATGAGAAACAATTATCTCTTGAGCATCACATTAATATTAAAGATCCGTAGGCATTAGTGTTTAGGCAATATACTTTCTTCTCAGCTCCAAAAAAGACGTGGGATAATTGGTCTGAACATACTCCAAACGTGCATATGTCTTTATTTATGAATTCCAGTGTGGATTGTTTGGGAGGATAAGGAGGAATAAAGAAAAAAAGCAGGAAAAAAACGTTGAGACCTCTCATCTCCCTGACTATTTCTGTTAGGAATAGTTATAACCCTTTGAAAATGAGTTGTGAACGCTAACAGCGTGTTGATAGGCTATGCTGACCAACACAGAACCCTTCTGACTGGGATGTCGTCGTCTTATTCCAGCGTTATATCTTTCCGTGGTTCTCAGACAAAGGAATTAAGGGTGGATGGAGCTTGCTGCTGCCTGCTGGGAGCCCCTTTGTGGAGGGCCGGGCACCGGGGACTCCTCTCCCTGGTGCAGGAGCGGCTGCTCCGGGAGCGCAGAAACGCCGCCCTGTGCATTGGCACGCAGGTGTGCTCATACCTACATACACAGCGTGCCATCGCCTGTCCCTCCCCAGCAGCAAATTCAGCTGCTTTCTGCCATTGCATTAAATAGTGGGGCAACTTTTTCCTAGCTCAGTTTTGTATTTGGTTTCACTCAATATGGGGAAAGCAAGTCTATAAAGGCGCGTCTAGCTTGTTTCAGCTTCTGCATGTGCGACCGGCTGATTTTCACACCGTGACAAGGGGTGTCGGCAGTCACCCGGCTGGCCGTTGACTGGCCCAATTTCCTGTAGCGCGCCGAGAAGGCCGCCCATACCAACTTCAAAGGTAAACAATTACCTTTTATTATCACACATGGCTTTAGCTCTACCAGTTTCAAATAGCACATAATCACAAGTCTGTGATAACATTTACTCCTGATGAGAGAAAATTTACCAAGTACTAAATTGCTGCTGAGATGACGGGAACACGAGCCAGGCAGGAATTAGCTCGGCTGATGAGTCAGCAGATGGTAATGTCTTGCACCACGCTGCATGCATCTGCCGAGCGGTCCACCGTTGAATCATCTTAAATATTTTTGTGTTATTACCCCTACAGGAACAGGCATCAGAGAACTTTTGTGTGCCTGTATTATATATGCATAAGCTATTTTAAAATAAATATATGCAGGCACATAACAAGTGTATGCATTTAGGTATGTAGGTAATTTTCAGCTAAGGGAAGGATGAGTAACTAGCAACTATTTAAAGTAAAACATGCATGGAAATGCTAATAGCAATTGCCTGCATTTGGTGTTTAAAAAGTGATTTAGCTCTGCTCAGTTGTGGTTGTGCTAAGCCCGGGAGTGTGACCTCAAGTCCACGTTGTGCGCCCTGGATCTTCACACCAGCCAGCCTGGCCAAGCTTGCAAATTAGGTTCAAGTTCACTAAAAGTTTCCCATATTTTGGAAATTAATCCCTCCAGAACCAAAGTGGCAGCTGTGGGGTTCTGCGTTTCAGTATATCACCACCACTGCTTTCTTCTTTTTTTCCCATTGTGCCTGGAATGTCAATATGTGCTCAGATATATGCAGTATCTAGATGTGATCAAGAGCATCAGATGAATTCAGTGCAGAGGGGCGAATGACTTTTTAAATGAGATCCTTTTTCAATTAAGGCCGTGCAGTGGTGGGATCATGTGCTGCCCTTGTTCTGCAGTGGATCTTCAGCAGATGACACAGGCAGAGGCATGCAATGGGGGATGCAGAAGGGCTTTATTCCAGACAGCAAAACCATTACACAAAGCAGGATGTAGAACTTGTATTTAATAAGTTCTTTGTAGCATTCAGCTTAACTCACTGTGGCAAAACAAATCAGAATATTTTAAAGTGCATTGTCTGTTCTGTCTTAGCTTATTTAAACTTTTGCATGCGTAATTAACCAACTGCATGCCTGTGAGAACTGCAATCGTTGAGTGCACAGCATGCAAAGTTCCTTTTTTTTTGACACTCTGACTCTCAGAGGCCTGGGGGTCAAAAGTTAATTCCAGTGAGATAAACGAGAGTTGTTCGTATTTGCTAAGAAAGCTGCTGTTTCAGGCGTTCACGGGCTGAGTTTCCCTGCTCCAACTCATGTTCCTAAGGCTTCCCCACCCCCTAAGTTTCAGATATGTCTTTTAAAACACTCCCCAAACCACCCCATGTTGGGAACGCAGGGCGAGAGCAGGACTTTGCCTTTGCAGAGAGGTGCAGGGTAAGAGGTAAGAGGGCAGTTTGCGGGTAAGTCCCCCGCCAGCTACGGCAGC